TAGGATCCTCGACAGAAATTCATTTTCGTGGTTGGATTCTCTTGAATAGAATCCGACACGCGCCTCACGACATTGCCCATTGTTCTTTGTCAATGCCGAGCCCTCGGTCTTGGATCTTGCATGCCATTGTCGCACCGGCGCCCCTCGTATTGATTCACAGATTATGGTCAGTGAAACCTTTCAGCTGTGAATGGGAAACCTGGGAATCCCACTTGGTGCAAACCCTACTGCACCCACCTTGGCAGTTAGCGTAGCTGGATCCATGTTCGAGGGCTGGTAAGTGAGGGGTTCTGTCCACTGCTGCCTTGTGCGATGTTAATCCGATGTTAATCCTTCGGTTCCGACGAGCCTTCTGTTCTCATGGAAAAGGTGTGGCAGTTCCGTTTTCGTGAGGTCGATCAATGGGTTCACACACAATGGACCTGTCCACCAGGGAGACGGACATAACGGCTGTCCTGATTGATAGTCGCCATGATGTCTGACTTTTCCCCCTGAGTGCAGTGGCTTCCGTCACCCGCAAGTCACCTAGACCAGATAAAGAGATTGGAATGTGACCCAATCTTCAGGAACGTGGCGGCTCGCGCTTAGCAACAGGGTGCCGCTACCCGTTGACGGCGTTTTTGCATAGGTTTCGAGCTAGAGCTGGAATGTAGGGGCCAATAGCATGCGCTCCAGCTCCAAGACATCATCTCCACGAGACTGGCGGCACACGTTTCGGGGATGGTTATTTCCTTGCGCCTAAGTTGTTGGGACTGAAACACATAGCAGGCTCGTCCTGCTTTGAGATGCCGCTTGCCGCTGCCTTGAAAGATCGAAAGAGAAACTGTTTTGCCTATCTCACACTGCGTAACCGCCCCCTCAACATGCCCTCCTTTGGATCCTGGGGATGAAGGTGAGATAGGAAACGAATATTCTGCATGTATTTGACACTGACTATCAGATACGAGGCTGTGCGTAGGTTGCTGCCTCTCTGTTCAGTAGATGTCAAATGCCGGTTTCGTCCATGGGTCGATTGTCTCTGCCATTGGTGTCCTCAGAGTAAAGCAGCGTTGTCAACTGGCAAATTGTCGGTTCCAGAAAGACTATCGAGATGTCAAGGTAACGCCAAGTTCGGATAACATGCTGCGGGGATGACCAATAGCATGTTGTCTCCTCAACCACCCCTCTGCATCTGCCGCTGTGGTCTCGAGTCCTGCAGGTTTGGACTGCCAAGGCATCTCGCCGCCTCAACAACCAAGTCGTGCAATGCAATTCGCCCCCTCAGCCCCAAGAGATGCTGGCATTTCTCGTCTTCTTTTCCGGCATAGGAAGTAGAGAGTTGCTGCAGGCCAAGGGCTGTTGTTGTCCCACGTGTCCATATTGCTTCCCGTTCGGGCATCAACACTGTTATCATTGCCATAACATCATCTTCCACTCGGAAAATAGGGGCCCTGTAACACAGAAGGGCCCTGTGACGAGAGAAACGGGAATCTCGTGCCCAGTAAGTATTTTCCCATCCAGAAATATACCGTCCCAGTCGACACTTGTCAGCCCACTAGTCTCGTCCATCTCGCAACCCCCCTGCAGCAGAATTTGTCAACATGTCATGATTTGTATTGCAACAGCCACGCATGAAATCCAAGCACTCTCAGAGGTTTCCCTAACACCCTCGGGCTCGGAATTTTGCCGTCGCAGGTCTCGAGGTGTCAGTTTCGTCGATAACGCTGAACCAACCCCACGCAGGCCATGGTCAGTCCTTGCTGGCCATGGATTGGACGGGGAACATGTGATGCACACGCAACAGAACCCTCACCGTGTGCACATGTCGTGTTCACCGAAACCAACGTGGAGAGACCGGATTCTCGCTTCGCTCAGAGGATTGATTGATGGGCAATTCGTCACCGCCACTGCCCAGGTGCACGAATTGAGAGGCTGCGTCCAGAACAAAGGATGACCGGTTCAAGGTTGTCGCATTGCTTTTGATGGTGACACGAGAATGGCGATGCAGGCGCAGGAGTTGAGACAATGAGAGCAGCTCAGCCCAGCAACGGCGGCCTTTAACTCTCCCGAGACCGGCAAGTCGTCGAGGTTGAGGACCGGTTCGCGACCGGATGGGATTGGATTGCCAGGGCGGTTTGGCAGCTGACCAGATGAAACTTTCGAGTGTTCTTATGACCTCGAATCGTAGAAATAGGATCCGCAGATATTTCAGCAGATAATAATCCGTAACCATCCATGTCAACGTTACGGGGCCCCAGGCTCAGAGCCCACATGCCGTAACACGCGAGCCTATCCCCCACAAGAACCTGGCTCCCCGAGACCACAAGACCGGCGGTCGCCGAGTTATCGGATCCGTCAACCTCCATTTCCAAACAGTTGATACCGGTTGACGGGCGGCGATTGGCCCGGCTGGCGATCCAGGAGCCTCCAACGGTCCCATGCGGTCCAGGCTACCATATCCGTCCATTCGACACAAAGGAAGGTTCAAGATGATAATTCGGATGTAGAGTTAGGACCCGCTGCCGGCCACGCATCGCGGCTCCAATGCGTTAGCCGTACCAGTCAAGAGCCGTCCCGATCGCGCCGACACCACCTTAGTTTCCTCGGTAGAATCAGAGTGGTGCAGTCGTGCATGTAAGCCAGCTCCGGAGAGCTGCCGGTGGCCTCGGTGGCAACCTGTCGACCTGCCTAGGGAGGGGAAGCATCGCGGCAGTGGCCAGCAGAGGTCACTAGAGCTACCTACCTAGGTCTAGCTAGGTAGGTAGCTGTAGCTGCCGGGGTCCCTCAGAGCAAGCGTTCGTCTTGTTTCTACTTCAGCGACCCAACAGCCAGGGCCGAGCATGTGCCCCAGAAGACCTTACTCGTAAACCGGTAAAAAGCCGTGAAACCAATTCAACCGCGACTCAATATTAACCAACAGTCGCTTATTAGTCCGGCGCGGTGGCATGGCGTCCTGGGGTTTCCCCGGGCCGGTCGTTGTGATTGGTGCGGGAGTCGAGATGCAGACTGTGGTACAGCCTCCGAATCATGCCCCCATCCATATCGAGGTAAACCCCACAGAGTACCACCGAGTGGGAAGGCGTGGGAGCAGACTGGCGCGCTGGATCTCAAGAGGCCCTTGTCTGTTGTCCTGACGTGGGGAACTCGAGATTTGCCATGCAACCAAACATATACCGATGGCAGCGCGCATGACCCCAAATTTTTCTCCGTGTAGAAAGGGGAAATGTTTAAAAGGATCCTTTGAGCCTCGTCCGGTCCGGCTGGGTTGATCACTTCTCCTCGCGCTCTGCTCTGCTTCCAACCTCGAATCCAGACACACTAGCATCACCAGGTCCAACCGCAGACGAGACAGACCCGAACTACACAAATCCATCATGAGCCCCTCAGCAGTCGATGCCCCCGCGACTGCGGACGTCAAGACGACCCTCAAGCCCAACATTGGCGTCTACACCAACCCCAACCATGACCTCTGGGTGAACGCCGCTGAGCCCAGCGCCGAGAGCGTCAAGTCTGGCGCCGACCTGAAGCAGGGTGAGGTCAGTGTTGCTATTCGAAGCACTGGTATCTGCGGGTAAGTAATCCTCGTCTTCTGGACCCCGCCTCGCCCGGATTGGTTTCTCACCAGGGTATAGCTCCGATGTTCACTTCTGGCATGCTGGTTGCATTGGCCCTATGATCGTCGAGGGTGACCACATCCTTGGCCATGAGTCCGCTGGCGAGGTTGTCGCTGTGCACCCCTCCGTCACCAACCTCAAGGTGGGCGACAGGGTCGCCGTCGAGCCCAACATCCCCTGCGGTACCTGCGAGCCTTGCCTCACTGGTCGATACAACGGTTGCGAGACTGTCCAGTTCCTTTCCACCCCTCCCGTCCCCGGCATGCTCCGCCGATACATCAACCACCCTGCCGTCTGGTGCCACAAGATTGGAAACATGTCGTATGAGAACGGTGCCATGCTCGAGCCCCTCAGCGTTGCCCTGGCTGGCATGCAGAGAGCTCAGGTTTCCTTGGGAGATCCCGTCCTGATCTGCGGTGCTGGTCCCATCGGTTTGATCACTCTGCTCTGCTCCGCCGCTGCCGGTGCTTCACCCATCGTCATCACTGATATCTCTGAGAGCCGATTGGCGTTTGCCAAGGAGCTCTGCCCTCGAGTCATCACCCACAAGGTCGAGAGACTGTCTGCTGAGGATTCCGCCAAGGCCATCGTCAACTCCTTTGGCGGCGTTGAGCCCACCATTGCCCTCGAGTGCACTGGTGTTGAGAGCAGCATTGCGGCTGCTATCTGGTCGGTCAAGTTCGGTGGTAAGGTCTTCATCATTGGTGTTGGAAAGAACGAGATCAACATCCCCTTCATGCGCGCCAGTGTGCGCGAGGTCGATATTCAGCTGCAGTACCGATACTGCAACACCTGGCCCCGGGCCATTCGTCTGGTGGAGAGCGGCGTGATTGACCTGTCCAAGCTGGTCACCCACCGTTTCAAGCTGGAGGATGCCCTCAAGGCCTTTGAGACCTCGGCCGACCCCAAGAGCGGGTCGATCAAGGTCATGATCCAGAGCTTGGAATAAGCAACGAAGTCATGATTATAAACGGGGTGCTTGGCGTATGTATTTGAGGTTGAGGCGTGTGTTTGGGGCTTGCTCGTAGAAGAATGCCTCTCTTTTTTTGGGTTATAGAAATACGAGAACAATGGAAAATTGAATCAAATCTCGTTCTTCAATTGCTGAATGAAGATGATTTCGTGAATGCTGTAACAGTCGCGCACCGGAATCTATATGTAGTTGAAAATTGTGAAGAAGAAAAAGAACACAATGGTGATTGTTGTATTTCACGTCCCCTCAGCCTGACCATGAGCCGGCGGCTATCAATCGGATCTGGCAAGAGTGAGGCATCGCTGTTATTGCCGTTCGCCCAGGACTGCCGCACAGTCCAAAAACGGTTTAGCGCCAATAACCTTCGGCTCAACCACCACCCAGCGAGTTCTCCCGAGCTTTTTTTCTCCCTCAGACGACCTCGCCCACGATTACGATCAGCCTCGACTCCATCAATTGACCACCCGCCGCAGGTCTCATCACCCCACGGAGCTCCGACACCGATCCCACGAGGCTTCTCGCATCCCTCATCGTCACCTCCGCCGCCATGTCGTCGCTCGCCCGTCCCATGCTCCGCTCGCCGGCCCTCCGCGTCGCCGCCCGACGCTTCGAGAGCACCGCTGCCCAGAAGGCTGCCGAGGTCACCAAGAACACCGCTGCCCGTGCTCAGGAGGGTCTGTCTCGTGTCACATCTGCTGCTGGCCCGGCCATTGCTGGTGCCGCCAAGGGTGCCGCCAATGCCCTGAACAAGGTCGGCGGGCGAACGGGCAAGGTCATCAGCTTCGTTGAGCGTACGTCTGCCACGGTATTCAATCGCAGCGTGGGCAATTGGATGCTGACAAATTGAACAGGACAAGTGCCCTTTGTGGTTTACTACTCCAAGGTTGCCCTCGAGGTTGGCAAGATTGTGTTCCACGGCCAGAAGATGAGCCCTCCGTAAGGCGCCCCCTCAATTGTCCCGCAAATAAATATTGGGCGGGACAGCCGGCTAACGCGCATCCGACAGCAACATGGCCACTTTCCAGACCACCTACCAGAACCTCCTCAAGACCATCCAGACCCGGGGCATTCTCCAGTCCTCCCAGAACGTCATTCAGCAGGTACGGAATATCGGCCCTGCTCAGGTCGCCGCTGGCGGCGTCGTCCTTGCCGAGGTTCTGGGCTTCTTCACCGTCGGCGAGATCATTGGCCGATTCAAGCTCGTTGGCTACCGCGGCGAGACCTCTTCGCACCACTAAGCGTGTCCCTGTAATGTAGCGAGAGTTGTGGGGATGTATGAAGAGCTGGGGAGAAAGACGAATGTGAACGACTGGGTTATAGACATGGCTTCCCCGGCCCGAGGACGCCTGGGAAGGGCTGATTGGAGACTCATCTATTCGGGGAGTTGGAACCTGGGAGATTAGGGAACGCCGGTCTCACTGGACCTCGATGTTTGTCCTCTGTGAGCACCTTTCTTTTGTAGAACTGTACATCAAAATCAACACCCAGCGGGTTGCCCCCGCCGTGGATACCTTCCAACCAGCGATATATGTGTCTTTGTGTGAGATCACTCTACTTGGCCCATTCCTTGCGTCATCCCCATTGACGTTGGTTAGTTTTATCTTGCAGTCTTGTATTTCGCAACTACATAATGGATAATGATGTGCTTTGTGGGCTCTACAGAGTGACCAATGATTCGTCAACGTTCGTTTCAAGACAATCATGCTTTCTTCAGAAATTATAAGAGGGATCTTCCACTAACTCATTTATGTCTGAGGGGGGGGCTCGAAATAGTCTTGCAACTGTCAAGTCCTGTGGTGCTTGGGCGTCGTGGAGGAAGAAGGCTTGACTAGAGTTACCTAGGATCCATGATAGTTTCTTAACCGCAGTGTGTTGAACTTTATCTCGAGATCTGTGGCAAAATATGCTTGCTCCCATGACTTTCCGCTAGCATAGTGCAGTTGTGATGCTTTGTCAAAACTCCTTCAACAAGGTCGTGCTACAGAGTCCAACGCCGTAGTCCATGGCAACAGTCAAGAGGAAGTCCTGATCAGCGACTCTTTAAATTTGCATGACTTCATCTCAAGATCCACATGCGACACAAAAGAGTGTATCCAAATCACATGCAAGTTTATATATAGCGTCTGGTTCACGTGGAGAGCGGTTCATGGAAACTTTGCCTAGGTGAAATGGATATGCTCGCAACATCACTGAACTTGCCCAAAAGACTCTAGGAAACGTGTATAATACTGCTGGGTATTTCTCATTATGATATTTCAGATACAGATATATGGGCACTGTCGCCCTGGCCGTTGGCCGATCAGTAGAACGAGGACTCCTTTGCTCAAGCCCACCAAGACGGTGTACTAGCTCAAATGTAGCCCACAGCCGCCTTGTTTGATGCTTGGTGTGCAAGTCGACATAAGGCACTCAGCGCAAGGGAGTGTTCCCTTCGATCCTCATGAGCATATCCAGGGCACACACATATCCTAAGCAAACACATATCCATGGTCGACAATTCCGTCGACAAGACATTTCAGAGCGTTGGCCAAGGCACGTCGGCCTAGAAACCGAAAAGGCCTGTCCGAGAAACAAGCCGCTGGCAAATCCGCCCAGATGGTCAAAGCCATCCGCTCCGGACGATACTGAGAAAACTTCTCAGCCAGATGAAATGGCACCAGCGAACGATGAAGGAGACAGCGGTGGTATGAGGGAGAGGAATCGCGCAATTCAGGCAAAACAACCTAGTTTTGGCTTGTCAGGATGAAAACCTGACCCTCCTAGATGCTTCCAGAAGGCCATTTTCACCGAGACAAAGCCTTGACCAAGTCATTCACCTTCTGCTTCTGGAAGTGAGCACAGTGACCACGGTAAATGGGTCCCATCCCTCGCGATAAGTCGATCGGACCCCTCGCTTAGTTCCCAGTGTCACCTTCTTCGCAGAAGCGGGCAGCCTGGGCGGCAATGCCTTCAGCAAGGCCTGACCGCCACAATAGATCCGAAGAGGTTGCCGCGTGCAAAGACCACGTCGTGATCACACGGAGCGCGATGCGGTTCGGTCAAGTCATCCGATCGATCCGCGCTGTCGACGGAGCTGAAGGCCCGAAACGAGAGAGGGCCGTCCCGAGGTGTGCGGAGCTATTATGGAGTCCCCGGATTAGATCTTGGCAGGCAAATTAACAGCTACCAGCCACGCTGCGTCAAGCCCTTGCCCGCACACGCACGCGCACGGCGGCATCAGTGCGTTTGACAGACAGATTGATGTGACCAGGTCAGCAGAGTCCGGGCGGTCAGGTCTTTTCCGCCGTGATCAACGGGGGTTCCTTCATTAAAATGGCTGGTCGTTTGATGAGGGCCCCCCTTCCTTGTCGCTGTTGGTGATACCGATCATGACCCCTGTCGCCAGATATTGATTCCACGATGCCAGTTCTGAGGGAGAGCGTCTCTTGAAACTCGGCGGATCCTCAAACATGGGAAATGAGTGGTACCGTGACGCGCTCGGAACAAAGCGTGGTGCCATTTCGGAGCTGCCAGGGTGTGATTGTGTGCAGCGGCCATCGTATTCTCAGTCCGCCCCCTTTAACGACGAGCCTGGGCTAGTAAACAATTGCAGGAGCGGAGCGTGTCGCGACGATCTGCCTGGCATTTAATGTTATCGTCTTTCCCACTGAGTAGCATAGCATAGCATAGCATGTCTTGCGTTGGGTCTGACGAGCTTGGGGCCGCAAAATGGACCAAGGCCTTACTGAGGGGGCCCGGGCTTTCTCGCCGTCCACATGTGGCTGCGAAGCGGTTAATATCCCATTCTGAAGTACAAGAACATCGATAACTCACATGTTGCAGTAGGTGTGGTAGCGCAGAATACAGGTCTCGCGCTTGACTCTTGCGCATAGCTCACGGACCTCATCAGGCCCCAGGCCATGCTTCTCAACCAGGGGCATCAAGCTAAGAGACTCCAGGCTGTGACTTAGACCGAGGTTGAACCATCTTGCGATCTCTCGTTCACGCCGATCAGGAGACCAAGGGCAGACAAAGGCCGGGATAATCTCGTGCTTGATGTCGACAAACCCTGTAGCTTCGAGCATTTGTCGAGTTTCTTCTGGTGCCACTCTTGCGGTACGGTTGAACTGGTCCATTCCAGTGAGGAACAACTCTGCCCACTGGGTAAATGAGGAATTCGAAGGCCTTTCGTCGTCGTCCCATCTGGGTGTCCAGTCGATTTCCACGTGTTCCATGTGGCCGAGTCCCGGAGTCAGGTGCCTGCACATGGGTTAAAACAGCTGGCGGCGGTGAGAGCGTTGCACATACTCAAATATTTTGCGATACACTTGGGGCCACAAATCGGTCTGAATGCTTCCAAGCATCATCCGCAGATGGATCAAGTCGCAGTCTGATAATAGCGGACCCCATGTCGGTTCTTCGATATCATATTGCTTTGGCATTACCCCTACAGGGATTCTGGGCACGTTAGCCTCTGGCTTATGACTGAGAATCCTTCAAGACTTACAGAGCGGGCTGAATCTGGTTCAAGTCTACAGCCATAATTTGGGCGTCTGAGAGACAGCTGTGGCCTGTTAGCGAACGTCGGAAAGGGGCCTGCATAACAAATCGAGTACTCACTCTTCTGCAACGTTGATAGCCCAAATTCCAGTTCCTGTACCAAGATCCATGATTCTGGGGGTTTTCCGCATGATGGGAGTGTGGAAGGGCTTATTGCCGCTCGCGACCAGAAAGACTTTATGGAATATATCCAAGCGATTTAACTCTTCCTAAACAGCCTGGATTAGAGTGCGTGACAAATACTCCAGGCAGGGATTGACTTACTGAATCGATGGGAAATAGATACTTGCCAGGCTTCCAGGAACCGTAGAAGCGACCATGTTTCCAGTAACCATCCTCAAGATACCTCCCCTCAGATTCGGTTACGCTAAATGATGTGAGCCTGGCTGATTCCTCAAAGTCCCTGGATTGGGATGGTACACACCTATTTTGTGAAGACATGACGACCATGGGAGAAGACCGTGGAAGGACTCCACGTCACCAAGGTTCAAGGTATGAGGAACGAGGTCTCAGCGTGGCTTGACTGTGGCGGAAGACTGAGAGAATCCAGATTTGCCTTGCTGAATCCAGGATGTGGGAGGATTCAAAGCCCAGTGGAGAAGACTGCTGCAGATGTTAGCAGAAGCACAGCAGCAAGCCAGGATCCACGAGACGGGAAATAGACATGTGTGGAAGGTGATGCAGAATTCGGGACCAAGATCTGAGGGATGGGCAAGACATGGGAGTCCTGAGAGCTAAATAAGCCCAGCAACATGCAACATCAAGACCCAGGTTATCGAGGACAGCGCGGCACGGTTCGCTGGCACCACAGGACTCGAGAGTTTCAACTCGAAAACCATCCGGGCTTAGACCCTAAAACGGCGCAAATGGCGCCGAACAACGGTAGAGCTGGTGAGACGTAACAGACTCGCAGCGTTGTTGGTCGCACGCGGCTCCTGCATATCAATGCCCCAGGAAAACGCTCCATGAAGTTTGTGGCCAGAGATTCGAGACCGACGGGGAAGGGGGATCACAAAAAAACGGGGGCAAACGTTTGAGAAGTCGCGAATGGATGGATGGACGCTTGCTTGCTCCAACCAGCACACATGACTATTCCCAACAGCACTCACTTACAGAGCAGAGGTAAGCTTCCAGGTTGAAGACTCGGGGCCAGGTCCACGCGTGCGAAGTAGATTAAGAGGCTGTAGGAGGTAACGCCAATGAAGAGGGACCGTACAGCGTTGGCGACGGGGAACCACCAGACAGGATTGGCTGGAAGTGGAGGTCGAGAATCCGACTCAGGACGAGAGGGGAGCTGTCAATGTTTCCGGAGGTGGGTTCCAAGGCGGAGATGGGCCCAGAGAGAGGTTGTTCTGGCGAGGGCTTTATATGTGAAGCTGCTAGGAGGAGGTCTGTCTGGTGCTTGGTCCAAGAGTCGAGACGTGAGACGGTGGTGGGGGAGGACAAGCTCAACGAAGTCAAGTCCAAAATCAGAGGAGGGTTTTTTTTCCCACCTGTTCCACCCCTTTTCTTCCCACCGCGAACGTGCGCAGGACGAATTATGCAGGATGAATGCTCGGACTGCTGATTGAGATGCTCAAAAGGCCAAGGCGGAGGCAAGGCAGAGCAATGGCGGAGAAGATGTCACGGGCAAGGAAGAAGCTGGAGAAGATGAGGAGGAAGGTTGTTGATACTTATTATTGCCGGCCGGAGGGGACGTGGAGCGCGGAGCGGCGTGTGTGGGCATGGGATGGAAGTGGATGGGATGGGACATGGATGGAATAGAGAGAGGGACGGTAGGTAGGTAGGGACAGTAGGGACAGTACAGGTAGGAGCAGCGCAGGGCAGTAGAGCGGCGCACCTCAGTGCAGCGAGCGAGCCTGCGCAAGGAACCTACTACGTAGTAAGGCAGGTACGGGCAGACAGCCCAGGCACAGGTAGCATGGGACGTGGGACCCGTGGGCGTGGCCCTTGTGATTTCTCCCCTTGCCTCTTTGTATTGCACCCCCCGTTGACCGTTGTTGGTCGAATTTTGTTTTGATGCGCCTCGAAAAGCGGTTTAAGACTTGTGTTACCATCCCTGGTGAGTCCGGTGGGCTGGGAATAATTCAAGTGACAAGGCGAGGTAGGTAGGTAAGCTGCTACCCAGCAGGTATGGAAAGTACCAAGCGTCCATTGCAGGATGGACAGTCATGAAATGTCCTGGCCGACCAAGCGTCCATCCATGGCAGTAGACGGACAATCGAGTCTTTCGGGGCACACCTCTACTGACTGAACTGGAGGTGGGTGGTAAGGAAAAGAAGACCCAGGGGGGCGTGGCCGTTGTAGGGCCCTGGCGCCGCAACACCATGGCAGAGTTCCGGGGGCAACCAACTTCGATTCCCTGGGGCTACCATCCAAGGATGGATATGGCTGGCTGACTTGGGGACGGATTCATCGAGGCAAGCAAGCACGGCTCCTCGACATGCAAGGCACCTTGGCGGCACACAGAACTCGCAGCCCGCGTGCCCAGCGTCAAGACACGGCCTTGTCTTGGTTGTCCGGAGCCAGGCCTGCAAAGTTGGCCTCTTGACGTTGGTTTCTAGGACCAAATATGGTCTCCTCGTCGGTCTCGCAGCTGGCCGCCCCGAGGCCCTGTTGTTCTGTAACACCCGAGATCACCTCCATTTTCGGAACCGCTTGTCTCTCCAAGCTCCCGGTATGTGTTTTAGTGCCGGTGTGACCAAGGCTCTGCATCCATTCCGAGGTAGGTAATCAATGTGCCAAACAAAGCCGGAGGCGGTGCCGAGTCCCAGACTATGCCATTGTTCTTTTTAACAGTACAAGGCGAGGTGGGCGCTATGATGGCATGGCTGTCACGGTAGATGGTGCCGAAGCCGCAACCGCAACCGCCGGGCGGCCTTGGGAACTGGACGGGTGTCGTCTAGGTTTTTTTTTCCCGCGTTGGTTAGGTCGGTTGGTCCCCTCCCATCCCTTCCCTTCCCTTCCCTTCCTTCTCCAGCCGTGCCCGAGCCATCAATCAGTGATGGCTCCATGTCACTGTGGAGGACTGGGAGGAGGACTGGTGGTCCCGCCGGCGGTGCGAGGCGTCTGTGTTTCGGGGTTGCCAAATGCCCCTAGCCGACCACGGCCGTGCCTTAGCGTCGAGCGAGCCATGCCATTTAGCGCGGAGCAGGGAACAAGGAACCATACATGGATCAGCGAGCGAGGAGAGAATTAGAGACAGCTTCAGGTGGGTGGTGCATGACCGTGACCATAACCATGACGGGCACTGAAGACAGGGCCTGCCGCCCTCCAGAGTGGTGGCTGAGTTGGGGCCAGCATCCATTGTGGATGCAGATGAATGGCGTAGCGGGTAGTACTTGATCGAGGATCGAGGGAGATCGGCTTCAAGAGCAGGCCATATTATCACCACCTGCCTAGGTGGGCAACATATCTGACTACTGCCTAGTGCGCATAAAGTTGATGTTATTACTGAGCCTCGACAAAGATGGATGCCCGTGCCCATTTTGGCCTCTCTGACTGCACTTCAAAATAAGGATCTGCTCTTATCTTGCAGTCTTAATCACGGGCAATGGCTGTTATAGGCATGGAGGGAGGATCTTCCCGACGCAGGTAGGTCATGAAACGGGTTGAGGAAGGAGACAAGGTCCGGTCTTTTTCCGTCTAAATCGAACAACTTCTCACCACCAACTTCTGCCTACCTGCATCCATCTACATCCACCCTGTTCGTCTCTCAGTCATGTCTCCCCCAAATTCGTCAACTGCATCGCCGGCTCCGATTGAGGCAGAGGGAGAAACCCGCAAAAAGAAAAAAAAAACTATGCGCCATTCTCAACCGTCGCTGCTCGCCTCATCCCCCCAGCCCAGCCCAGCCCAGCCTCCATGGATAGAGGACGTCAACCAACACATCCCGACGCGATGGGAGGCTTCCCTAGTGCCCGCCTGCTCCTCGTTGCGCGCCGCCGCCGCCGCCATCTGTGGCAGGGCCAATGCTCCCTAGTGACTCGAGCTAGCCGCCACCCTTTTTCTTTTTTTATTGCCAGACGCGCCGAGGTAGGTGCTTGATGCCAGGGCTGCCCCTTGCGCTGGACTCTCCGCGGCACGCCCACGCCCGCAGGCAATGGGCAGTTCAAAGGAATGCCCGGGCGTTGGCGCATATTAGCCCCCCGACCACTGAGACTCATTGATGGATTCCTGTTGCTTGGCTTTGGACGCTGTTTGGCCCCATCTCTTCCCGCTGTCCTCGTTTCGTCCCGTCCGGGCGCCGCCGTCTCCATCTCCGTCTTTCTTTCTACTCACCGGCTAGGGTACCTGGGCCAAGGTAGACATGTCCATACCTGCCATTTCCTCTCTTGGGCATTGGTTTTCAGCTGTGGCATTGACCGTTGTCGATGGCTTGGATCTTTGCCGTGCTGCTCGACACGACTCTTTCTCAAGGAGCTACGAGATCAGCAACAGATGAATCGTTGGTGGCTTAGGAGGCTACCTATTCATGGATGTCAAAGTGAGGCGACATACGAGGCAGGAACGCACGCCTTGCAATATTCACACCAGCTTTATTCCCATCGAGATGGACTTACGCGCTGGATCCCAGCCCTCTGGTACAGGAGGGTTGCCAGCTTCACCCCCCTTGCAACAGCAGCACCTCGCCTGGCCTCGCTTCCTGGGCACACAGCTTTCGGCCCGGCTGCGCTCCTGTTGGCACTGTATGTATTAGGTCCAACTGTTCGTCGATCCAAATCATGGATTCTGACTCTAGGCAAGGGATTGGGCCAGGGCTCCCCCGCTCTGCCCACTGCATCGGGTCACCAACACCGCTCACTGTCATAAGCCTCCATATTCTTCAACGACCGACTCTCCTACCATCCAGTCGAGAGGGAGCACTGTGCTGCGCTGCGCGGGCGCGAGCTACGGTACACTCTAGGAGTCTGCACTTGTGTTTACGCAATCACCAGCATCACAACAGCCACAAGTCCAAGACGAATCTACGCGGGCCGCTATTCCCATTTCCCCGCAGCTAATGCTTCATTCAACCAACCGACTAACATCCTTGCTGGGCGAAGCGCCTTGCTACTCTGAACCCTTTCCCGTCCAATCCCAGCAGACCAACCGACAAACCATAACCGCCCACCGTCGACGTACCTTCTAAATCATGCGAGTCGCGGCTGGCGTCCAAGAACACTGTTGTCCACCCACTAACGACACTATCTTGACTCGACCTGGGGCACTCCAGGGCGTCACTCCATCTCAGGATTCTGGCCTTCGTGTACAACTACTCGCGGGACTCAACTTAACAACAACTCATTGCCGAGGATAGCGCAGGGTTCGTGGCTCAAGATAACTCTGCATGAACTCATCTTGAAATGAAACATTGAGCTCTGTCTCTGATCGGCCATTTACATGCTGTGCACCCTGCAGTGCAACGTTCTTGCGGACCGTCGTTCCTCGAAACGAGCTGCTGGATGCGG